ATTTCTCCAGGGAGGCTCCACTGAAATAAAATATTTAAAAGAAACAATGAACTCTAAACTATTATGCAAATATAAATCATTATTGCCATACTTATATGTCAGCTTTGCAAGAGATTGAAAAATTATATCACAATATTATGCAATAGAATTGTCAATCTTAAAAAAAGATCAAAATCAATATTTAGCTGCTTTCATTGTTTACAGGTTTACTTCTGGCTACCCCTAAAGTTCCCTCCAGCAACCAGAGAAATATCCTTTACTGACCACACTTAATTGAAATAATTTTCTACTTTTGCAAATTTTTCCATTCTGTACATTGTAGATTTTTGCTATCCAAAAAAGGTGCCTAAGATAATTCATGGAGTGGTGTCTTATGAAAAAAAAGTACTTTTGTATTTTGCTTGCTTGAATTATGAACCCTAGTCTTTTTTTTTTCTTCTTACCATTTACCTTGGATTATTCTGGTTATTCACAAATGTGTTCACAACTTTTCCATAACCTTGATAGGATATTCCAAATTTGAAAAGCTATTTATACAGCCAGAAACAACAGTTGGAGTATGAAAAGCTATAATGAACCAGGGAAATATAGCAAAAAAAGATGTCTGCCCCAAAAAAGAATCTATAATAAGAAGCACACCTCTTACATATGGGCTTCGTCTCAAATGCATCTGATCTAAATTTTGTTCCCAGTTACTAATTCCTAATTTTTAAGAGAGAATTCTGCTCTAGAAATTTTTCCACCAGTCAAACAAATGGAAAAATACAGTTTAAAGAATCAGGCCAGGTACAATGATTCTGTTCTCTTTTGAGAAGCACACAAAGACTGAATTATATACTTTTATTTTCTGTTTGACTCCTTTGCAGGTTTCTATTAGAAAAAGCCTGTGATTAAAACATGTGTGTATGTGTGTATACACACAGACATGCACACACACAAACACACATAGGTAAATAATGAAAGCCAGAAGATTAGCAGAATTCTAGAATAACAAAACTTTCCTGGACGTTGGAATCAATTACCCAAACCTGATTCTAACATATTTACATATTTCAATAGCGATTGCTATATTTAATTTCCTTTTACCATGTGATCAAACAATAGGCTATTCTTAAGCTTGACCAAAGCTCACACTATGTTATTGCACCAAAACGTTAGCCATCCCTGTGATAGTGAGACGGAGAGAAGAAATGTTAACCAGACTACTCTTTTACTTATCCAGTGCCTAAACTGATGAAACCAAGTCATTAAAGAAAAACCTCACTGGTCATACATCACCCATGATTTGAACTTACCAATGTATTAGATATTTCAGGGATTTATTCATGAAAGTCAATCCTGGTTTTGAGTTCAGTGTGGGTGAGGGGGCTGCTGACTCAGGGAGCCTGCAGGGACCCTGTGGCCTACTGCTAGGCAACAGCCCATCCCCAGCACAGCAAACATACAGACGGCAAAATGAATGACCTCATCTACAAATCAGCTATTTGATATGCAGATCGAACCGCAGGCCTCTTCAATAACACAGCACTTCTCAGGCAGCAGGTGCAGCAAGGAAGTGAGTGGCCTTTCGTTATTTCAAAAGCTGGGCTGCCTCACTCTCTCCCTCTGGCCCTTAACAATTTCTGAAGCTCTATTATCTTCATTTTTTATTTAGACGGTCATTTTACAGAATCAGGGATTACCCTCTGCTCTTCGTTCAGAGGCCTAACCTTAAGTGTAGACATGAAGCAGGATTTAGAAGCCACATGAATCACTGAGGAAGGATAACATCATCCAGACTCTTCTTAATAGACAATAGAGAAAAACAAAAACACTTGGAGGTCTAGCCAAGTGCAGCCTGTGCACTCCCCACAACCCACATCTCCAGCGACACATCTCCTTGAAATAATTATTGATGCTTATAACCAAAATGGAATTTGTCTTTCCATGTGTGTTGGAAGCAGCAACCTAAGTTAGTAGGAAATGAAAATACGCACCTCAATTCTTCATGAATAGCTGCCTTTTGGAGTCAACGATTGCATTCGGCAGAGTGGGTAGATGACTTGGAGCAAAATTATGGCTCGCTGGGTCATAGGATGAAGGTGTTTTTCAGCCATCAATTAAAAAAATAAACAGTTTATCCCAGGACCACCCCGCTCCCCAGACTCCACACCAGTGGAGAGATCTTTCATGTGCTTCCTATGGCTGTAAAGTGCAGTGTCATATAATTTATATTGTCTGTGGTTGCAGGTTATGTCCTGAAAGTCATAAACTATTACAGTTTTATGGCTCTGCTGCAGCTATTAACTAAATGAAAGAGTTATTCATTTTAAATCTGGAATCTGTACAATGACCAAGTTTAAATTCATCAAGATCCACTAGTGTAAAATATGTAAAAATATTAGAGATGAAAGATCATACACAGTGGGGACAGGGGGGGAGCAGTGAGGGTGGGGAGGGGTGAGAAAGCAGCCCTGAAGAGCTAGAGTATTATCATCCAGTGAGTATATATGGGATTTTTACCTTGCACTTCAATTCACATTTCTTGAGGATGGAATGTTCTACTCATAGAGTTGAATCACAATAGCTGGTTTGTGTGTATGTTGTGAGTTAAACAAAAGGAGTGTATGCTTATTTTGACATATTTCCTGCATATATGTACATATGTACATATAAAGATGTATATGTACATATATGTGTGGCGAGAGAGAGACACAGACAGAGAGAAAGTGAGACAAATGGAGAGACAGATAACATAATTAAAATTGGTTCTGTAAAAATTTGCACAGCTTTTTCATAAGAGTCAACAAATTTCTTAATTGCTTATACATTTATTTGTATTTAGAGCCTCTGGCTTTGTCTTTTTTTCATTAAATATGAACAAGTCACAAAAAATATGCTTATTTTGCTTACTCTGGGGATATGGAGGCACATAGAGAGCATTCTGCTCAATGCAGTGACATCAGATATATTTTCAAATCTTTATTAGCTTTGGAGAAATCTTTGCCACTGGTCAAAGCCACAGTTTGGGGTTTTACTTAACAAAAACAAAGTCTGAGGCTCAGAAACAATAGTAGATGGAGACTGAGATCCTGTGGATATTCTTTTTATCCATCAAGCCAAGAGGTGAACAGAGCATTATCTGCACCACGCACCTCTAACCCACCCAAATTAAGAGCCTGTGAGGCAATTTTCAGACGATGACCACTACCCTCTGTTATGGACTGAGTGTTTGTGTCCCCCCTGCCAAATTCATATGTTGAGGTCCTAGCACCCAGTTTAGCTGTCTCTAGAGATGGGGCCTCTAAGGAAGTAATTAAGGTTAAATGAGGTTATAAAAGCAGGGCCCTGATCCAGAAGAATTAGTATCCTTATACAAAGAGACATCAGAAAGCCTTCCCTTATGCCTACCCCCACGAACATGCAGGCACTGAGGAAAGGCCATCTGAAAGCCAGGAAGAGGGCCCTCTCTAAAAGCCAAATCACCTGGCTCCTTAATTTTGGTTTGCCAGCATCCAGAACTGTGAGAAATAAATGTTTGTTGCTTGAGTCACCCAGTTTGTGGCATTTTGTTATGGCAGCCCAAGATGACTATTACACCTGAGATATTACAACAAATGCCATAAAAATATAATCATTAGAGACTATTATAAACAACTATACGTCAACAAATTTGAAAACCTGGAGGAAATGGATAAATTTCCAAACACATACAAACTGCTAATACTGAACCAAGAAGAAACAGAAAACCTGAACAGAACAATAAAGAGCAATGTGATTGAAGCAATAATCAGCAGTTTTCCAACAAAAAGAAGCTGGATGGCTGTACTGCCAAATTCTACCAAACCTTTAAAGAGGAATTAATACCAATTCTCTTCAAACTATTCCAAAAAATTGAAACACAGTCCATTCTCCCAAACTCATTCTATGAGGACAGTATCACCCTGATGGTTTTAGACCAGAAAAGGATACAAAAAGAAAATAAAATGATAGGCCAATATTTTTTATGAACATAAATGTAAATATCCTCAACAAAATATTAGCAATTAGAATACAGCAACACATTGAAAAAAAAAATCATCCACCATGATTGAGTGGGATTCATCCCAGAGATACCAGGATGGTTCAACATATGCAAGTCTGAAAATGTGATACACCACATCAACAAAATCAAGGACAAAAAGCATATGATTATCTCAAAAGATACAAAAGAAGTATTTGACAAAATTCAACATCCCGTTATAATAAAGATTCTCAGCAAATTAGATATAGAAGGAAAGTATCTCAAAACAATAAAAGCCATATATGACAAACCCACTGCCACTATCTTCCTGAACAGGAACAAGAAAAGGATGCCCACTCTCACCACTCCTGTTTCACATTTTATTGGAAGTACTACCCAGAGCATTCAGGTAAAAGAAAGACTGGAAAAGATGAAATCAAACTGTTCCTGTTTGCATATGACATGATCCTACATATAGAAAAACCTAAAGACCCTACCAAAAAACTCTTAAAGATGATAAATGAGTTCAGTAAAGGTGCAGGATACAAAATCAATACATAAAAAATCAGTAATATTT